ACCCTCGCGCAGCCCTCCTTCATCGCGTACTTTGAGCTCGATACCCGCTCAAATGCCACAGACCTGACTGGGTCAATCTTTGGCCTTTTCCAAACCGGTGGCTTCTTTGGCACATTGTCGTGTCTGAAGTCGGCCGATTGGTTAGGTCGACGCAAAGCACTCTTCTTCGCAAGTCTGGTCACCACCGTTGGTGGAGGTCTCCAAGCTGGCAGCGTGAATATTGGAATGTACCTCTTTGCACGGTTTCTCACCGGCATTGGTATTGGTAAGTCGATCATTTCTAAAATGACAGGCGGCTTTCAGCAGAGAGACTGACTTTAGTCTGCTCAACAGGTGCTCTCGTCACCCTTGTGCCTCTTTACCAGAGCGAAATTGCTCCACCCAAGATTCGAGGCTTCCTTGTCGCTATGCACGGCGTGATGCTGTGTGTTGGCTACTCCGCCGCCAGCTGGGTCGGCCTGGGATTCTATTTCGTTGATGCTGGCGGAGCACAATGGAGACTTCCTCTGGCTATCCAGGCGCTCTGGCCTGCCGTGCTTGCTGCTGGAGTCTTATTCCTGCCAGAAACTCCTAGGTGGCGTATGTTATCCCAACCATCATGCTCACCCGCCGACTGGACTGAGACAAGCTGATACTCGGAAACAGTTCTGGATCACGATCGCTATGAAGAGGCCTTTGAATCCTTCAAGCGTGTGCGCGCCGAGTCGTCCGATGCCTTCTTGAGCGACGAGGCCGCCATCAGGACGGACTTTGCCATCCTCCGTGAACAAATCATCTTCGAGAAGCAACAACAACTGTCCTTCTGGGATCTATTCCGCCTCCCCCATTATCGAAAGAGGCTTATTGTCGGTTTCGTTACCATGGTCGCCCCCCAGGTCACGGGCACTCAGATCATCTACAGTATGACTCTCAAGCACCTTATATTCCTCTAACTGGACTATTCTAACTTGATTGTATAGACTACGGGTCGCAGCTGTATAAGAGCCTTGGATTCAACACCCTTGAACAGCTCCTTCTAAGCTGCGGGTGGATCACATTCTCGCCCTTTGGCAACTGGTTTAACGGCCTGGTCGTGGATAAGGTTGGCCGAGTGAGGATGTTGCGTACGCAATCACGTTCCGTGCACACTACTTTCGAGAGAGTATTTACTGACCATTGTATAGTGATCGGAATCAGTGGCTGCGTCCTTTGCCTTGTTGGCGAGGTCATTACGCTCGCCCAGCTCGAGAAGGGAGAAAACCGAGCCGCCACAAACGCAGCCGTTTTCTTCCTCTTCCTTTTCGTGGGCTTCTATGCAAGCTTCATGTAAGAAGCCACTCCCAACTTCTACCAGTGTCACAGGAGCCGACGAAGCTCCTTTCCCAATGCATGGTTTCAATGCTAATAATGAAACAGCGATGCGACCACCTACATCTACGCTTCTGAAATCTGGCCGACTCCAGTCAGAGCGAAAGGCCTGGCACTGTCCATCTCCGGGCTGTTTCTCTCATCGCTGGCTATTCTTCAAGGGTGAGTATCTATTACTCCTGTCTCTCTACACATCTCATCCACTCTCGTATCAACACGTGCTAACTACATTTGCGTCACCAGTGCCCCAGCCGGCTTCGCCAACATTGGATGGCGATACTACCTGGTCTTCATCTCCGTCACTTCGGTCATGGTTGTGTTCATGTACTTCTACTTCCCGGAGGTAAGCTCTGAACCTTTCTCATTTTCCCTCTCCCAGAAACTGCGACAGAATGGGCTGATCATTCGCCTTAGACCAAAAAATTGAGCTTGGAGGAGATCGGAGAAATCTTCGGTGACGAAGTTGCACATGTCGACGCGAGCACAGCTACGGCCATGGGTGAAAAGGGGGTCACCGAACTGCACATCGAAACCACCGACCAGAAACAGTAGGCGACGGCGGTGACACGTTTGGCAACCTAAATGGATACAGAGAGAGTGAAGAGGACAAATTGGCACGGAAACAGTCCCTGAGCAAGTGACAACAGGTCAGAAATAATCAAAGTGATGAACTGCGATAGTAATAATAATACCTGCTTCTGATCCCCATCACCTTCTGCCGTGTATATCTCGCTCTCGTCTTCTAGCAGAGATATCCACGATAGTTCCGATTGATAGCACCATTGATTTTCTGCAGCAATTCCTCCGAGGCTGTTAGTAAACTGGGAAGGAATTCTAGCCACAATGACCACAATGGCGAATAGATCCCAAAACTACAGTCCTGGCCACTGGGATGACTGCTACGAGGCTCTCATTACACCAAGGAAGTGTGTAATCGTACAATCCTGGCGGCATAACAGGCTGGACAGAAGTCAATCTTGTCACAGAACCGACATAGAGTTGGGGCAGCTACCTCGACCCTCCTCTTGTCTATCCCAGCACCTCATCCTGGCGCCGCGGTCCAGACTCGCGATGCTCGCCACTGCCACCAACTAGATCAGCGATCTCCTAGGGTCGAGACCAACGACCCCTTGCTCACAACAGTGAGTGAGATCTCCGACCCGCCACACCGGGTCGTGATCGAACCATGTTAAACCTACCTGCAGCATGCCCTAGCGGCACCAATGTCCATTGCCACCCCATGGGGACACGTACCACCGGGGCTCTTGGGGAAGGCAAGGCAGTTACCTTGTCCACCGGAGAAGGCGCCAGGGCGAGAAGGATGGGGACACGGCCTCGGAGAACCCCAAGCACATCGTGGGCGGGACAGAGACGGCGGAAGCACTTGCCCCTGTTCTCCATCATGGCCTGATTTTGGAGGTGGCGGTGGTGATTGCCACGCTGGAGTGACTTTGAGCGTGTTGGAAGGTCTGGACCGGGCTCTGCCAAAGGTATTTCCAGCGATAGATCCCTTTTGCCCGATGCCTTGGTCGCCTCAGTGTAGTACCATGTGTATCAGAGCAGTAGAAAAGCCTGGCACTCCGTCGAAGCAGATTCGCCCGCCAGACGCCTCTCCAGATCAAAACCCACTAATGACTCTCCAAACCCATGGAGGTGTTCGGACGAAAGGACATCTCTTGAGCTATGCTTGGACAGGGACATGTTGAGCTCCAGCGGGCCCCTTCGTCGGCCAAACCTCGTTACCTCTTCAAGGTCGCGAAGAATCTGTGGAAATCTGACCACTCTCTTCGAGTCGTTAGACTCCTCCATGCCTGATCAGAGTGAGCTCCAACACCGCGTGTTGTGACCTCCTTGGGTCGTACTATTCTTCGAGGTGGTGTGGTCGTTCCATAAAGGACACTAGGAACACTCCGTCCGAATTGGTCTCCGCATATGCGACCAAGGAGGAAGGCCCCTTTCAGAAACGGAGAAGGAACAAGATGCAACTGATCAGAGGGTCTTGCTGTAAAACGGTCAACTCGTAGACTTTGCTGATGCTGTACGAGCACCTACTTGGAAGTTGACTGTAAACCTCCTACCATTTCTTCTGTCGATACACTCCCCACTCGAGATGGTTATGTAAAGAGCCCTCGCCGTCGCCCAGGCGCTTGGAGAATCGTAGACAGTTGAAAACAGAAGTCAGGGGTTGAACATGCTCTCAATGCTAGTTACTGGAACAAGGTACTTGATGAATTGAATTCAGAGGCGACGAGGTGCTTGGCCCTGGTACCATCTTGGGACAACTTGGGCTCAGCCTCCGCGTCAATCGCTACTCAGCCTCCTCAGCCTTCTCACCGTCTGCGCACCTTCTTGTTTCTGGAGGTTCGGTCCACTTTGATACCCCCTCCCTTGACAACACGAGTAATCGGTGTTGTCTTGAGCGGACATAGCTGCCATCTATCGTGTCGAAGTACTAGTTTTAGCAGTACTACAGCCTTTAGCGACTCCCCCCAACGTACTCTGACATGACAAGACAGTGTAGACCTCTTCCTCTTGCGCCCCTTCTATCATTTCATACATATATTGAAAGGCATTTACTCTTTCTGACACCCAAGTGTGTTCCGAAAGAAAATATCAGATCACCACTGACTTTCCAGATACGATGGTCGAAGGCTATATTGCGCGGATGCGTCCTCGGCGGAATTACCAATTCTTTAAATTTTCGCTCCGTACGGTACCTATAGAGGCGGCTATAGTGGAAGTGGGGTAGAGATATCCTGTCACTGGAATTTGGTGTTCCTGCAAGGCTCCCGCAAGGTGCCACTCGACGCCATATGACACCCATATTTTTGCAGCTTTGACATGCAGGGGGAATCTTGTTGCAAATCTGTTCCGCGATGGCGCTGTCAGAAATTTTGCCCGCCAATCTGCAGCATCAGTCGGCATGATTTCGCCTAGTGCAAATACATTATTGGTCTAGTTTGGCGCGGTAGTGTTGATCTGCTCTGGCAAGGTTTTTGCAGCCTTTCTTATCTCGCCAACAGCGGAATTCGAATTCTCACCTTCATGAACACTTGTTGAGTACGGAGCTACTCTGGAAAGAGCTCACCGTGCGCCATCCATATTGTGCAGATGTTTTCTCGAATGCCTTTCTCGAGAGCTCAAAGATCACCATGATAAGCCCGCCAAACAACAGCGGAGTGCAAACAGTTCCAGTCAACGATAAGGTCGTTGAGGCCTTTCACTATAAACAGTTTGATCAGTATCCGAATTATCGCGGTGATGCCAAAGAGATGTCGATGGGTGTCTCACCAGTATTCCATCGTCTGTGAATCGGTTTACCGCGTAGGAGAGTTCCGACAACTACACTTTGGCCGAAGCCTTGCGACGTATCTTTTCCCCGTTTTCGGAATCCTATTTAGGTTGTTAGATAACGCTTCCCGTACACAAGACTAGTAAGTTGTATGGGAGCTTATCAACTCTTCATTCAACTTCAAGACACCAAACATGGACTGCACGGGTTTAATAAGCAGGCTTCCGACATTGAGTATATAATCTGGTTGTTCTCACATTTCTTGGGTCAAATGTCCTAGTATAAGTCTCGCACTGTGCAAAAGCCACTCCTACGTAAGAGCACACACCATAAAACGTCCTCAGCGCGAAGTCTCAGGAAGATGGTCTCCTTCAGGAAACTTGGCCTTTTGCCCCTTGTTGTCACGCCGGTCATCGGTTCGCCGATGCAGTTAGAACGGCGAAACTCGACAGACAAGGCCCCGAGGAACAAAGTCATTATCGACAATGACTATCTTGCCGGCCAGTGGGATCCATATTTGCTCGCATTGAATGCTGGGTGGGAAGTGCTGGGACTGACGACATGTATGTAGCCACACCGAGACCACTCATTGGAATCACCCCCTCCATTAGAATCTGGACTCAATCTGTCATCACAGGCACGGGAAATACCTGGATGCCGCAACAAGCCAAGCATGCGCTGGCGATGCTCGAGTACGGAAATCTCAGCTGCATTCCGGTATACACCGGGGCGCTGTACCCGCTGGTCAGCACGTATGAGCGGTTCCACTCCTGGGAGGCAGTTCACGGTGACCTTCCCTGGCAAGGAGCGTTCGCACCCTACAACGCGACCCTCGAGGCGGAGGGGTGGGATCCGTCGGGGGGATCCGACCCGTATCGCATCGTCCAAGCCGCCTTCACCGAGGGGTTTCCCACCGCGGCCGCGCAGTCGTCGCCAGGCGCCGTGCAGTTCATGATCGATCAGGTGCACAAGTATCCGGGACAGGTTTCGATCTTTGCCGCGGGGCCCATGACCAACGTCGCGCTGGCGATTCGCACCGACCCCGAGTTCGCTTCACTGGCCAAGGAACTGGTCATTGAGGGCGGCAAAATCGACGTGAATCTGTTCCAAGTAACCGGCGACTTGAACCAGGCTGACATCAATTCGGACATGAGCCCTTCCCCACCTTTTTCTCAAGACAGCGGTGACTCTGTTGCTGACAATACACTCGTAGTTCAATTTGCTCTTCGACCCTGAAGCGGCCAAGATCGTGTTGAATGCAAACTTCCCGCGGATCCTCGTCTCGGGCAACGTGGCCAACTCAGTCTTTGCCACCGACGAATGGATCGACGAGGTCGCGGCAGTCGACACCTATTACACACGGTGGACCAAAGAGTGGTTCTATCAGAAAAGCCCCTTTTAGGACGGCACTGCTGCCGTGAGCATGGTGGATCCTTCAATTGTGCTCAACTCGACTACTTGTAAGTCTTTATGATATCCTCCGCTCTAAGTGGCCTTCAGCTCGTCTAACGGCTGGGACAGTCTTCATCGACGTCGATGTAGCATACGCAAGTCCCAACTACGGGAATGTCCACGCGTACCAAAAGGCGCTCGCGCCTCCGAATCTTCGCAACATCACTTACGTGTTGCAGATCAATGAGACCAGATTCAAGAACACGTTGAAGAGCATTTACCAGAAGCCAATAACCTGCGCCGACCTCTCGTGAGGATGCTAGACTAGAAAGCTGCAGATAGTTCCTCTGCCAATCTGACGATACCAGCAATCGTCCTCCACGTTTTCCACGATCAATGGCAGCTAAGCTTGGTCAAGATGTCAGCTTGATGGCGGCTTACTTGGCTTGGATGGCCCGATGGTCACCTTGACCGTTAGATGTAACAATCCCGTTTCCGCCGTGAAGAATTTGGAACCATGAACCTCCACATCCAGGTACCGAATACGCCTCCGCTCGCCACTCGCAGATTCGTCCCCGCCATCTCTTCTTACACCACCTCAGGCCATAGACAGCAACCATCCAAGTTATACTTGATTATGCGTAAACTGAGAGAAGAGAGAGAGAAAATGATCGATCTCGCCAGGGTTATTAGCGCCCCTTCTCAGCTTCTGGGCGTACTCGTACAGCGTCGATATTTTTAGGCCCTGCGCGCCTTAATTAGGCCACCGAGCTGATCCGATTACGAGGTCGGCCTCTTCGCTGTAACTTGGAATATATATCCATCTTCTGTCCTCTTGAATGATTGTGTTATCGCCATTTTTTATAACGGGCATTTCTATGTTATAAGAGATGGAGGAGGTTACGCCGGCCGATTACCTTGTCGTTGGCGCCGGGGCCATGGGGATGGCTTTCGTCGACACCCTCCTCAGTGAGAGCGGGAAAACCATCGTGATGGTCGACCGCTACGACCGCCCCGGCGGCCACTGGACGACGGCCTACCCCTTTGTCCGCCTGCACCAGCCCGCTGCGGCGTACGGCGTGAACTCGACGCGCCTCGAGCGCGACGGTATCGAGGAATTCGGCTGGAATAAAGGTCTCGCCGACTGCTCGTCCCGCGACGACGTGTGTGCTTACTTCGAGAGGGTCATGAAGACGACGTTCTTGGCGTCCGGGCGTGTCCGATACTTCCCCAAGTGCGAATACATCCAGGAGGGCCGATTCCGCGCCATCCTGACGGGGAAAACGTACCGTGTCCCCCGGGAGACGTGCATCGTGAACGCGACGTATAGCCAGACGGTGGTCCCGTCGATGCGGCCGCCTCCCTATGACGTCGCCGGCGATGTGGACATCGTCACGCCCAATGGTCTCGCCGGGGTCTCCCGTGGATACGAGGGCTACACTGTTGTTGGCGGCGGAAAGACCAGCATGGACGCGTGCCTGTGGCTCCTGGAGAACGGCATCGCCGCCTCGCAGATAACGTGGATTCGACCCCGGGACTCATATCTCTTCGACCGCTCGACATTCCAACCCGTACCGTCGCTCGCCGCCCGCGCCAAAGCGTCTTCCCAGGAGATGATCGCGTCGGTCATGGCGGCCTCGTCGGTGGCGGATCTCCTGAAACGCCAGGCGGCCAAACAGCTCCTGCTCCAGCTGGACGAAACCGTCACGCCGACCATGTTCCATTGCGCCACGGTGTCCCCTCTCGAGTTTGACGCACTCAAGGAGATCAAATCGGTCGTCCGGAAGGGGCGCGTCACCGGCGTCACGCGGGACAGAGTGGCGCTGGAGCACGGGAGCTACACGCCCGTCCCCGACACGCTGTACGTCGACTGCTCGGCCGGGTCGATCCCCAAAGTGGCCCCCGTCACGATTTTCCGCCGGGGCAGCATCACGCTCCAGCCCGTGCGGTACTGCCAGCAGACGTTCAGCGCGGCCCTGATCGCTCACGTCGAGGCCACCTACCGCGACGACGCCCGGCTCAAGAACGAGCTGTGCCGCCCGGTACCCATGCCCAACGAGCCCGCCGACCTCGCGCTCGTCATGCTCCAGACCAACCTGAACACGCTGGCCTGGCTCAAGCAGCCGCAGACGGCGGCCTGGCTGCGAGACTGTCGCCTGGACATCTTCCGGGTCGCTGGTGCGGAGGACCCCGAGCAGGGACTCGCCCATACCCAGCAAACGATCATGGTTCTGGAGGCTGCGAGCAGGAAAATTCAACAGCTGCTCGACGGCCTGCCTGAGAGGGATGCGGCCCAGATGCACGCGCAGCTCAAAGACTTCTCTCTCATTCCTGCACGTCTGTAGAGGGTGGAAAAGAAAGAAAAAAAAATAAGGTGTCCGTGCCATTCATTGTGCACTTATGTAAGGGGCATTCAGGCATGACGCAGATTGATGCCGGTTTTGTAGCTCAATACGATGCGCTTGATATGAGACCCAACGAAGTCCATACGCGATAGACTTTGCTGCAGGAACTTGGTAGCCAAGGTGGCAGGGCTGACTCACTCTTTTTGAACGTCTCTTGTAGTTTTAGGGGTGAGGATCTTTTCTAGCCCCTGGAGCGTGTCTTTGCCCGTCACTCTAGTGGCTGAGGTCACCATGGGGATGTGTCGTCGTCGCTCCAAGACTCGGCCGCGGTTGTGTCTTGACATCGTTCCTTCTACCCCTGAGGCTGAACAGGGACCACAACTTGGCCGCTTCAGGTTCTCAGATTCTGACGTTTCGAAGCTTTAGAAGGACCTGGTCTTTGACTGGTACCTAGTATTTGGTACTGGTGGGTGACCAGGCTACAAACAAACATTTTCCAGCGGCTCGGCTGAGCTCGACGCAGTACAGTGGTTATTACGATTTACGACTACCACTAATACTCTGTTTCATGTCCTATCGCCATCTTAGATGATGCTGGGTATCAAATTCGTGAGAATGTTTCCTCTTGCTCCGCGGCGCCAGTAACGCCGGCAGTATTGACTTAAGCTGCCATGGTCTCCCCTTTCCCAATGCGTTCGGTCCTTGTGAAATGTCCTCCGACTCGCGGAGATTGCTTCGGTCAATGGCTCGAGCATTTCAACGCCCTCATTATGTCCCGGCAAAATGAGCCCCTTGAAGGATTTCCGGCACCTTGCAGGCCTCCTGGGACGAACGGTGCTACTTCCTGATGCTGGCAGATGCGACAATCGGCAGAAGGCCAACCCCATCGACTCTCAGCCGAGATCTTCAGCGCGTTTCGTGACGGGCCAGCTCACAACAGCCTTGAGGCAGTCGATCGGAGGACAGCAGCCTGCCAGCGTTTGAGTTTCTCATCTGCGTCCGATGCTTCCGACGAGGTGGCCCAATCGAGGCTGCTTTCGGGGGTCGGGAAACTGAGCACCGTGCTTGCAGCATCTTGGTCGGAAGGCATGGCGTTCGGTGACGCGGCTGCGGAGGTGGAGGGTGTCAAGTAAGCTTGAGCGGGATTTGTGGGCAGCGGGAGATATCGATTGTTCGTGGAAGAGGTGTCCTGCAAGCTGTGAAGTCCGTGCTGTGGTTGCCGTGTCGAAAGCCACGTATCCTCAATCTCTTCTAAAATGCCCTCATCAAAGATGTCATCATAAGGTCCACCAGCGTCATCAATTAACCAAGACATCAGTTGGCGCTTGACTGTTGCGAAGGCGTCTGGTGAAGCGAACATCAGAAGCTCCACCAATTCCACAGTTTGCCACAGATCCATGGTGCACAGTCGTCGACCTGGCGTGGATTGCATCCGATCGATGCACATATACGTGGTGTAGACCATTCCTAGCGACGTTATCTGTTTTCCATCGCAGGAGTTCTTATCGAAGCAATGCGCGATGAGCTGCAGGAATTCGGCCGAACTGTCATCAAACTGATGGAATGTCCACGACGCCAGGGTCAGAGTGAAAAGAAGGCCCAAACATAGCCTGTTCCCCGTCGTGGTATTTTCGCAAATACTTCTGTTCAGATGCTGGCGTAGAGTCGACTTGGTTTCAGAACAAGGAGTGAATATACCTCTGCAGATGTGCTTCCATTCTTGAAGAGACCGAAAAAATGACTGTAAGGTGAGACCAGCTCTCGTTATTTCTCCAACGGTCCTAAAGTACTGTGGCGCGCCGACCTGAACGCACACAGGTATACATAGCGTGCCCATCGGGTAAGACGTTACGGTCAGACCCTTCTGAATGCGCAATTGCCGGACAATCAGACAGGCCTGGAGATGCTTCTGCGCCGTTTCGCGGTCGCCGATGCGATTTTCGAGCAGCGCAGAGAATGCGAGCCCGTACATTGCATCCTCGGAGATGGCAGACTGTTGGTCGTCGATCTTGGAGCTCATGATGTTGTATGTCTGCTGCCGCCGGCGGAGCAGTAATGTGTCATGATCGAGATCGAGATTTTGCAGCACCGCGTGACGATGTCGCATGTACAGGACCGCCCAGCTGAGGAGGATCTGATTTGTGGACAACACACCCAGCGTGACATCCCGGACCGGACAAAGTGGCGAGACGGCACTCGTGCCATAGAAATCGTGAGGCACCGAGACCAGATCTTGGAGGAAGCGCATCTATTAGCTAGAGCGGGAGACTCTTGAAGGATGAAGTGACTTACAGCCGTGCAGGAGGTCACGATCCTCTACGGTAAGATCCATGGACAACGTGACGAACGGATCCAGCAGGCTTGAGGTGAGGCCCTTGTTGAAACACTGGACCTCCTCGTATGGCACGGGTACTGCTGGGCCCTCTGGCTCCTTTTGCTCTTCCTCCTTCGATTTCCTCTCTCGATTGGCCTTTTTCGCGGCATGGCTCAAAGCTCTAGATCTTTCAAGCTCCCACGTCTTTCGGTCGGAGCTTTTGCGCAAGCTGTGGTTCACAGAGAGAAAATAAAGCTGGGGTCCCATGCTTCATACTGGTTGCTTGAGGACAAGATGGTGATTGACCGTGGGACGGTAGAGCGGAGCAGGTAGATGTGTTTCGGAATAAATGAATTCATGGCCGACCTCAGGCGAGTCTCCGATGAGCCAGAAGTAGCACGCCTAGCCCTGGCCCGTATTCGGTAGAGCGTACTGATGTAAGACTGCGGGGTTGGCCCAACCTTTAACGAGAGCCTTTGCTTAAAATGTTGTGGTCTTTGGAGTATCGGGGCGATACCTGCTACTTCAGGCAGCGGTTGTAACTATCCTGAGCGACGGTCGACCCCGCCTGGAGACACCGCCAATACGCGAGGGTGAGGCTAGTGAGGCGTCGCTCGGTTCAGCAGTATCACGATTGCTTATTGGACGACTTCGATATTACTGTTTTGGGAATTTGGTGATGATGGTGAATGCTGTAGACTCGCAAGGGATAGTCCAACTTGATGCGGAGTTCTGCTCTGGCACGATGAGTTTTTGACTGTTGCCGTTCTATTCAAGTCAAAGCCTTGTAAAGTGAGCCTAGGTGTGTGTGGTAAGTTCAACCAAAAGACAGGCGAGGCCGAGTGCGCGGTGGGTACGAGGAGGTACGAGACAGCATGGAGTTAACCGTGATCCTTCCTGTTCGGAAAGCAATACCCCTGCTATGCTCCACACGAGGCTGAGCTCTCTCCATCCTGCATCTCACAGATCAGTATCAACTAGCCCAACTGTTGCCCAATGTTGGCATATGGGGAATGCGAGTTCCATTCGAAATGGCAGGTATCATATCTAAGGTTCTTCGGTGATCATTACATCCCCCTCCTCTGACGGTGCCTCGGATTAGCGCCAGTCACATTTGACGAAGAACTCCCACATCACAACGCCCTAGGCCGAGCAGGTCTCATCGGCTCAACCTGCACAAACTCGCCAATCTCGACGTCATGCACTGTACTCGTTACAGTGTCCGCCGTCTTTGGTCGCTCCTCCGTTCGTCCTCTGGCTTGATTCAAAGCCGCCATCTCCTCACTCCCATCGATCGCCACCGCGCTCGCGTCAGGCTTCTTCAGCTCCACCCACACAATCACGACGCTCACATAGATGATCCAAACGAGCGCGCCACACACGCCATATGCAATTTTCCATCCGCTCGCCCACTTGGGGCCCTTGAAGGTGGCGGCGAATTGGAAACCCAGGCCGCCATCGACAATCCCGAGGAGGATCAATGCACGGCCCAGCCAGAGATGGATGTGCACAAAGTGTACGACCTTGGGGATCTTTTCGTGGAACCAGTGCAACTTCATCAGGGGCTGGAGAAGGAGGAGGCCTAGGATGACGAGACCGATGACGCAGTGGTAGTGATCGAGCTGGCAATGGGAGGCCGTCCGATTAGCGAAATGGCCGTGTGAATGGGAGAAGCAACAGGTATGTTATACTCACAGCGTCAATTTTCAAGCCCATCCATATCCCTAAGCCCGTGGAGGCCACAAATATGGCCAACCCAACAGCTTGGATGGCCGCATGAATCCAGACGATGTGACGATGCGGCCAGACCTTGACAATGATGCCGCCGAGGGGAAAGCATAAAAGAAACGCCGCAGCCCCCAAAGCTGCATGGGCGATCTTTGCTTCTCCGAAATACGACGGAAACTTGCTTGCCCCCGTTGACCAAGCGAGAGAGGCCGGGTGGTAGGCGGGATTAGACGTCGGGGTCGCAGTTGTCAGCCATGGAGATGAGGCCGAAACGATGGGCACCGTGGCTGTTGGCGGAGATGCTGGAACGAGTTGTGCTAGGGTCAGGGTTGCTATCCATTTGATGTCAGTATGCTGCTCCGATCGGCTTTCCATCTCACAAACATGCCATTCAGAGGCCTTGCTGTGAAGAGCCTGCGGGCAGACGTACCTGAGAGGCTGACGAGGAGCAAGAAGGTGCTCGTCCATTGGTTCAGGGCCATGGTGTTTCAAGCCAGGTAGGTATACCCAAAATTCTGCGTTCCACCAACCTGGTTGATGGAGGAAGACGATAGCCAGATATTGGGAAGGGCATAATTTCAAGGCTGCGGTGACCTCTCACAAAGAACCTTTGACGTTTGCAGAGTCTCATTGTGGACATGTCCCGGAAAGGAGTTGCAGGACCTGGGCTGGAATGTAAGACGTGGACCTGGGCAACAGGAGGTCCGGGCATTTCTCCCTTCGTTCTGGACCGATGAGATTGCATTGTTAACCCTGGTTCTATTTCGAGCTCTGAGACCCAGAAATCGCTTTCCTTTCACAGACACCATCGCTATACTTTGAAAAACTCCGCCGACGCATTTCGCAGCTCATTACCGCTGGGGTCACTGGGCGAGCGAACCATTCTTGGCCCACCACTCGCCCCATTTGATGACCTTTCTTTCCCTCCTTGCCTCTTCTGCTGCAAATACCACCGCGTGGCTCAATATGATCTCCTCCAGATCGCATCCCACCAGTTCTCTTTGTGCCTGAGCCACATCCATTGTTCGAGCGTCGACGTTCTGAACAGCTTGCACAAAGGCACCAGCCAGGCCCCAGTCGCCGCCTCCGTGGCTCTTCTCCACCTCAGGTGCCTGTTTCGGAATATCGTGCACGATGGTTTTCCCATCGGCAAACGTATGCACAGTGATCTTGTGCGAGTCGTAGTGGATTTCGCCCAGCGTACCATATATCCACCCTCGTCGCTCGCATTGTGCTTGGGTCGGATAAGTCATATGAAAGAGCGCCCTTTTGAGTCCCCGACCGAGGTCCTGGCCGTGCAGAGGATCTTCCTCCCAGTCCATTGTCACGACCTGGTCATCCACCACGTCGTTATCTGATTCGTAAACACAGCGACCATACCAGCTACGACTTGCAATGATATTGTCAGGCGTGGTGGCTTTATCGTAGTCCTCACCAAGCCTTTTCATTAGTTGCTCCTCCGCCGCATCCCAGCCTTTGGTCGATACAATTTCTTCAATCTCGGGTACGACAATCTTGAGCGGCCAGCCGGTATCTTTCTCATGCCGAAGCCATCGGTCGCGGTAGATTTTCTTGGCTGAGTAGATGCAGCCCGCCTCAGCGGGGCAGGAGAGGCAATTCGTCGCCGTGCCTGCAGCCTTCGGCTTTCTTGCTGGGCGGAAATGCGTCATGGCTCCATTGCTGGAGATTGAAGAAGGAAGATGGGGTTTTGATCCAGTCAGAGCACTGGGTGAGCAGAGCAGCCACAGAATGAAGTCAATATCGTGGCCGGATTTTGTGAGTAGAGAACCAACGCCTTCTGGAGTAGAGCGGCGCCAGTTTCCGCGGACGTAAGAGTGAGAGAAATGCCACCATCCGACTGGCTCAGTGTGTTCAATCGAGACAATCTCGCCAATGACCTGGTCCGCAGTCAACAGCTTGCGCAGAAGGATGTTGTGAGGCGAGTAATGTAGCACATGTCCGATGGAGACCACTTTTGGAGGGTATTTCGATAACGCTGAAGAGATAGAGAGACAGTCGGATAGTGATAAAGCCAAAGGTTTCTCGCACAGAATGTGGAGGTTGAGGGGTGCAATGGCACGGATTATAGAGGCATGTGTCTCATCCATGGTGCATATGAAGACTCCAGTGATAGGGATATAACCCGGCTCGGATCCTCCAGCCTTGTCTGCGTCCTCTCTGCGTCTCTTCTCCCATGTAACCCATTCTTCCCACGGGCCAAAAGACTGGTATTCCTTAGGCTGTCCATCTCTTCCCCATATGTAACGTCTCCCAAACTCTTGACGCTTGAACGGATCAATCTCTGCCACAGCCGCAATCGTGCCTGACGTCGAAGCTTCTACAGCACGGGCATATGCATGACCCCGAGATCCAGCTCCAATGACGAGGAATTGTGGCGGTTGAGGGGGTGGTTCGATGGAGCCCATTGTGGCCAAATGGGTGTACGATAGTGCGATAGCCTTTATCTGAGCACTGGAGCTCAGAAGAGTGAAGGTCGACCCAGATATATATGCCCGGCGGGCGCCTAGAGGGCGTCGCACAGAGCGTCGCAGCGTGTAACGTTGATTGCGGGGGGAAAGATAGCACAGGCGTCACTCCAATTGACCTGGCTGTGATTGGCCAGCCTCGCCGTTCACAAGGCTGCTCGGCTGTTCTCCGTCAAGTCAGTCGACCGTTCGTTGCTTGCTGGCCGCCTCTTCGCCAGGTTCAGGTCATACTGACATTGGCGTCCCAGGCAATAACATCAATCCGCCTGCGAGATGCCCGTCTGGGCCCTGAAGAACGTGGCAACCTGATTCGCCCTCAATATGCTCCTTGGCCACTCTGCATTCTCGGTCCCGGTTTGCACCAACATCCTGAAGAGAACCATGACGACAGCACCGTTCCCGAGGGCTGTCAAGGCCTCATTCTGGCGCGGTGGCACTTCCAAGGGCGTCTTTTTCAACATTTCTGATTTGCCGAAGTGGTTTCAGTCGGCTCTGTCAACAGGAAAACCACCTGAGGCGGCAACTTTGAAGAACATGGAGCAATTTTTTGCAGCAGTCCTAGGGTCTCCCGACCCATATGGCAGGCAGCTCAATGGGATGGGCGGTGGCATTTCCTCACTGAGCAAGGCCATGGTCGTTGGACCATCGTCGCAATCAGATGCCAATGTTGACTACACCTTCTTTCAGATTGGTGTCAAGGACGGCAAGTTGGACATGGCTGGGAACTGCGGCAATCTGACCTCGGTGGTTGGTCCCTTCGCATTAACCTGTGATCTCTACCACCAGGAACCTGCAAAAGATGGGCAACGGGTTCCAGACGGGGGAAACGAGACTGTGACCTTGCGGATGAGAAACACGAATACAGCAAAAATCATCGAGTCTACGTTTCAAGCTACCGGCTTCGACGGTAAATGGGAGTATCAAGAGCTTGGGACGTGCAGCATCGACGGGGTTCCTGGAACAGGTTCCACCATCACCCTCTCCTTTCTTCACCCAGGAGGCGCAAAGACCGGCAAGGCTTTACCCACGGGCAACCCAATTGACAATATCGAAGTCGGAGACCAGATAGTTCGAGCATCGCTGATCGATGTCAGCAATCCAGGAGTGTTCGTCGATGGCAGAGGCATTGGATGGAAAATCGATGCGACACCAGACAAACTGAATGCTAATCAAGCGCTCCTTGAAAAGCTAGAAGCCATCCGGAAACGAGGCACGGAAATGATGGGTTTAGACCCCAACATCAGCAGCATACCTAAGATCGTTTTGTTGTTCCCCGCTAAGAGCGAAGGCTTGGATATTTCATGCCAGGCACTTTCGATGGAACAGGCACATAAAGCAGTCCCCGTTACACTGGCCCTCAACCTCGGAGTCGCATGCAAGATGGAAGGCACACTTCCGCATGCGCTTTCAAAGCACCTTCATCCCTCGAACACCGTCATTGGCCATCCGTCGGGCACTCTGGAGGTTGGTGCAGCCATTGAGAATGGCGAAATTACTGGTGCGAAACTGATCCGGACCGCACGATGCCATATGGAGGGCTATGTCAATACTCTGCGATCCGGCTATGACAGTCGTGATCGCTGAAGCGCGGACTCGGATGGGTTCCATAACCAAAGATGGTACGAGGACCAGAGGAGGGTGCACATTGTCCCTCCATCCGTTTTCAAGTCACGGCTTCTCTCGTGTTGATACCCCGCGCGCTAAGCTCAGAAAGCCCCTCTGTCAAGATCGGGAAGTTTCTCTGCACGAATCGTTGTCGAGAGCCGAGCTCCATGCCACGGAACAATGAGATCATGGCTTCTACCAGAAGGAGCAAGCCGCGGGGAGCTCGAGAGAACCAACCTAGGTACTGAAATAATGTCGAAGGTGTTGACATATCCTTGACCCCGGGACAACATAGCTGCTCAATAAGTTGTTTCATCTGATGCCATAGATCGCCATCACTTCGTGAACACAGCCTCGTTCCGCCAGATCTATACTTCCACAGGACTACAAAGACTGCAGCCATGTCCACTCACACGGGAATGGGTGCGTGCTGCCTCTCTGGGGTTGTGCACGAAGGTACCCCCAAAGGCCGTGAAGACACCATCGGCGGCCTGCCCACCTACATCGCGGAGCCCAGCGACAAGTCCACCTCCAAAACCGTGGTCTTCCTCACCGACATCTTTGGCTGGAAATTCAAGAATGTCCGACTCCTCGCAGACCAATATGCCAAAGCCGGATTCTATACCTATGTCCCTGATGTGTTGGAAGGAGATTCCCTAGACATCGAATTTCTCCAAAGCATCGAGCCACCTTTGAAGCAGAAAGAGCAGGAAGGGCTGCTCGCCAAAGCGAAGGAGACGGTAGACGTGATGGCCACACTTGGGCCGTGGTTGGCCAAACATCGGGAAGCCGTTGCGGAGCCCATCATCAGTGGGTTTATCAACCATGTTAGAACAATACCGGGGACGAATAAGATCGGGACGGTAAGATCACTTCCCTTTCCCAAAATAGTATCCTCTGCATCCATGTCGAAGTGGACGGGGCGAATCGGCCTTGTCCAGATGATGTGGGCTTCCATCCTGACGATGCGAGACTGACGGGAACAGATCGGTTTCTGCTGGGGCGGCCGCTACTCCATCCTCCAAGCCCATGGTCGCAAAGAAGGCCAGATTGGCGGTGTCGATGCCGCATACGCCTGCCACCCATCCCTCCTTTCCATCCCTGCGGACATCGTCCCCGTCTCAAAACCTACTAGTGTTGCCGTTGGTGAAAAGGATAGCTTGCTGGATATAAAATCCGTAGATCAGCTCAGAGAAGCGCTTGAAAAGACCGGTGTTCCCACAGAAGTGAAGGTCTATAAGAACCAAGTGCATGGATTTGCCTTGAGAAGCGACTGGAGCAGTGATGAGGACAAGAAGGCAATGGATGATGCGGCGCAGCAGGGGATTGACTGGTTCAATAAGTATTTGTCCTGACAGTGATCTCTGCGATAGATGCAATGAAAGGAATACGTAGAAGCAATCGATGATGGAAGAGTGTCCTGTTCTTCTGCTGGTGTAGACGCGTTGAACCTCGCATAAAGAGGGCGCAAGCTATAGCGACCTGACGAGTTGATCAAAGCAAAGGAAACAGAAGGGCACAGGTGATTGCTTTCCTTACCTTGAAAACTTACTGTACGCCGCCAATTTTGATTGATTGCTCGCGCTGCGCCCGGAGGATACCATCATTGGAAACTTCCAGCATGGTCTGAGGTGAGTGTAGAGCAGGTCTGGAGCCAGGACTATCCTTGAAGCCAATGGGGAGCATGTTGATTCTGAGGCCAGTATCATTGACCTGCTTAAGCCGGGCCACGGTGACTGTCATATGTGCATCATGTGTTCTGGACATCGGCCCATTTGGTTGATGCCCCCCATCATAAGTGACGCGGCCTATTTTCCTGACCACCCTGCTGCTTTTGGACGAAGGGTGGGGAAATATCAATCCGCTCCATGTATCCTGAGTGCAGAAGTGGTTGTATGCTGAATGCACCAGGGAGCCTTGCCCGCGAGATGTCTCCACCGGGGCCCTCGGAGGCCTGCTTACATATCGTAAGATCGGTATAAGATGCTGCATCAGATCCTCGACCTCTGCCGACAGGGGTCTTCGGGGACACTATCGGCAAGGCTGAAAAAATCTGGTCCAGTTTTTAAGCCGGGCGTTTGGCGCAGATTTGTGACTCTCCATGCCTAACGACACTCTTTGTCTGGTGCTGGTCCTCGGGGCCCGCCTTCATTCTTGTGAACGGACGCCATTTGGAGGGCTATCGCATATCTGTTGGTAGTCTTCCACGCCGTCGAGGAGATTCGAGTAGATTATCGAAGGTAAGGGGTTCGGCATCGTGTGAAGGCAGGTATCCTAACATCCCCAGATTTTTGGAGAGGCTGCTTCCACTTCAAAGAATTTACGGCTGTCTGGAGTGCAGGGAGCGATTGCAAAAGGTGCCAACTTCAACTCAGCATCCTTAGCTGGTGTCAGGAGGAACACAGGGACTGTCGTTGCAGCGTAAAGGGGTTCTGCGAGAGAGGTCAGTAATGGACAGGTTCTTGCCATCAAACCTGCGCAAGAGGTCGGTCATCGTCTTGCCAGCACATGAGCAGCACCACAACGCCTCGCACAGCCCGGTAGCTTGCTCTTTGACGTGAATAGACACCATCGGTGAATGCTCCAGACCTGATAGCCCCAGGGCTTGCTCACGGCATCAGACCACCCACCACCAACTCCCCAACCCATTGATCCCGTCTAGCTTGCTTTTGCCTCTGGTGCCCCACGTGGAGTTGCCAGCGCTTCGTCCTTGATCTCGCAGATAAGCCAGCAATTTGCAGCTGTCAATGATCTGACCTTGTGGAGATGCCGCAATGCTTCGAAATGCTTAAGGCAGCTTAGCTTCGCCAGCCCCATTTCCCGAATGCTCCGTCTCGAAGCCAAGAACTGATAAGCATCTTCCCCATCATTGGCCGCATTACCCCAGCCTTCAACTGCCTCCTGCTTTGGCCCGACGTTCCCTTTTCATCTGTGCAATTGCTTGCAAACCCAATCGCGTATCGCTTTGCTGGGGATCATGGATGATAAGCAGGCGAATGCCTGTGACCTATCAGTCGGGCTAGAACATGACTGTCTACGCCACGTTGTGCCTGCATCGGTCGCTACCACGGCGACATCCCTTTGCTAATTCGAGCTGGGTGTGCACCAAAGGCAATAATGGCACCCTCTGGCGAATCATGACGTGTTGCTGGGACAGATATCGCTTGAATCCCGGCCTAGGTCTTCTCTAGGAGACCATGTATGTCGCATGGGTGGTTCGAGAGCTGGAGAGCTCGCCTTTTCTTTTTCGTCGCGTGCGTCGCTGGCAGTCTTCTTAAATCTTCACTCCTGCTCCTCCTCGACTGCTCCACGCGTTTCCCGTGCTTTTTTCTCCTCCTCCCAACTTGACAGGGCCGACGTGCAAGAACGCGGCTGCTGGACGCGACCCTACCACCGCTGAACCCCCGCCAACGTCGCCCCGAATCTGTTGACCTCGATGTCGCCCAGTCACGCAGCCAGCTATCGTGCCCAGCGCCGCTGGGACGCCGACACCCTCGTTGCGCCCGACTGGCTCAACAATGGCGACAATGCTTGGCAGCTGACGGCTGCCACACTCGTCGGACTCCAATCTGTCCCGGGCCTGATGGTCATGTATGCTGGATTGGTGAAAAAGAAGTGGGCCATCAACTCGGCATTCATGGTCCTTTACGCCTTTGCCGCCGTCCTCATTTGTTGGGTGGTTTACGCGTACCGGGCCGCTTTTGGCAAGCAGATGTTGCCATTCGTCGGTGTCCCCGGCCCTGCTGTCGAGATGAACTACGAATTGAAGCAGGCGTTCTTGCCAGAGGCTGGCCTCTCGGCAGCATATCCTATGAGCACCATGGTTTATTTCCAGTTCGTCTTCGCGGCCATCACAGTGGTTCTTATCGCAGGCGCAGCCCTGGCAAGAATGAACTTCCTGGCCTGGATGGTTTTTGTGCCACTTTGGTTGACTCTGAGCTACACTGTGGGTGCGTTCAGCATCTGGGGAGGTGGCTTCTTGTTCGACATGGGTGTCTTGGATTACTCGGGAGGGTATGTCATCCACGTCTCGTCCGGCACAGCGGGATGGGTTCTGGCATACTGGGTCGGCCCTCGACATCCTCGCGATCGCACCGAATTTCACCCGAACAACGTTCTGCTGGCACTTGTGGGCGTCGGGCTCCTCTGGCTCGGCTGGAACGGCTTCAACGGTGGTGATCCGTATACCGCTTCGCCCGATGCTGGTGCCGCCGTGCTCAATACCAATGTGTGCACGGCAATGAGCATGTTGACCTGGACCATTATGGACCTCATTTTTTTCAAGAAACCAGCCGTCATTGGAGCCATTCAAGGCATCATCACGGGCCTTGTCGCAATCACGCCTGCCGCCGGGTTTGTTGCAGGATGGGGTGCGATTATCATTGGCTTTTTCTCTGGTGTGATCCCGTGGATATCAATGAACATCCTGGGCAAGCAAAGGTGGTTCCTCGAATTCTCCGACGACGTGGTGGGAGATTTCCATACGCATTTGGTTGGTGGTATTGTTGGGGGCTTCTTGACCGGACTCTTCGCTACGAGCGAGGGCACTGCAGCCTTTGCCCTTGCTCCGTCTGGTGGTGCAATCGATGGAAACGGACGACAAGTATGGGTCCAGATTGTCGGCTTCCTCTTCATCATTGGGTGGAACCTGTTCTGGACCAGCGCCATCTGCCTATTCATCAAATACGTCATGAGAATTCCCCTGAGATACAACGAGGACCAACTGCTCATTGGTGATGGTGAAGTCCACGGCGAACTCCCGTACGCCTTCTTCCACGATGGACGACATGTAAGACCTCCTTTTCTGATCCACTGTTACGCATCTGCTAATCTCTGCAACAGGAATACGACGTCCATTATGGCAAACCCAATGAAGACGTGGAGAAGCGTGCGGGTGTATTGCAGGGCGTGGACGCCGCAGGACATATTGACAGCTCGGAGGCGGAAGCGGCAAGCGGCAGTGGCAGCGCCAGTGGTAATGGGACGAGCAAAGCCACCAAGCAGGCATAGTTGGACAATCTCGAACTCTCCTTTCCTTGCTAGACAGCATTATCGGCATAATAAGCAGGGGGGACTTGGTGTGAGGTGCCGCCTCAGGGACAACTAGTCATTTCTCATCGTCATCTTCTTCTGAACATGAGCGGGCAGTTTCAAATAAGTTGGCAAGATTCACAGAGCATTAGCAGAATTATAACGCAAAAGACACGAAGACTGTTTGGGATCTCCTCACGTATCAATCCGTTACTGTTTCTAAGATATGGCGGTTGCTTGGCCTGTCTTTGGATTGAAGTGACTCGAGTTGACTTGACAAGAGGGTAATATCAAAGGGAAGCGAGAGAAGTGAGGCCGCAGTGAAATGGCAAGGCATTTTACGCGTCGCGCTCTTGTTGTGCAATACCGCTCGTCTGACACAAGCGAGGCACACCGCGCCAGTAGGAAGGTGGTGGTCTTCTAACGCCATGGCATCTGTCAGACAGCGTGTCATTTCTGTTTGTGGTTTCTCAGTTGCCAGGCAAGAAGTTCGCTGTTTGTGCCATTGCCTTCTGCTTGCCACTTGGACAACTTCTATCATCGTCAGATGGAATCAACTTCGTTTATCTATCCATCTTGTCCCTGCTAGCTCTCTGACTAGCTGCGTGATCTCCAGCTTCGCAGCTTGAACAGCTTCTTTTCCCACTTCATCTACACTACCTCTCCCTTCTTAGGCTACCTTCGTTCCACAGTCTCGTCAATCCCCCAATTTCAACATGGCATCAGAGCCAACGTATCGCTTCGGTTAGTCTTAAATGCGTCCTTACAGCTTTAGGGAATATCGAACTAGCATGGAGTTGTGTTGTCAAAGCTGCCCTTTCGTTTGGGAGTCACCGCCTCACGCAACTTTCCGCTCTTCCTCAGCTTCCCGAAAACTCGCGTCTCCAGGCTAATGTCGTCAATGCAGAACTAGCAAAAACGGGCCGAGCAGGTTGTCAGAACTCAGCATGCAAGAAAGCGGGAATCAAAATTGAAAAGGGCGAATTCAGGATGGGGACGCTCGTGACAATCCATGAACACACATCGTGGATGTGGAAGCATTGGTAAGCTCTTTCTGCGAAGACCACAGTCGGCTGTAACTGAGTGCCTAACCCCAGGGGATGTGTCACGCCTGCTCAAATCGGAAAGCTCCAAGACCAGATAGGCCCGCTTGAGGACCTGGATGATCTCGATGCCGACTTGGATCGTATCATTGATGGCTATGACGAGATCAATGACGAATCGCGTGAAAAGATCAAATATGCGCTGGCTCACGGCCATGTTGCCGATGAGGACTGGAAGGGTGTAAGCTCCCGTATTTGATAGATGTGCGTAGGGCTTGGACTGACAGATTGACCTAGGAACCCGAATTCAACCGTCCAGGGATGAAGGGCATCAACAGACGCACCCCCAAAAAGAAGGAAGCTGAAGAAGACGCGGACGCTATTGCAGAGAACGAGCAGACCCCGTCCAAACCCAAAGCGAAGAGAGGTAAGAAAGCCAAGGTGGAGTCCGAGGACGAAGATATGCCGGCACCGCCGGCAGCCAAAAAGAAAGCCTCGCGCCGCAAGGTCAAAGACGAGGACGAAGATGCCCAGTCTGGCGAGTCCGCTCCACCAAAGAAGGCTGGAGGGAGAAAACGCAAAGTCGTGAGAGAGGAAGATAGTGAAGAAGAAGTCCCTGAGAAACCCAAGAAGAGATCACGCCCCGCCAGGAAGGTCACAACCGAACTAGCAGAAGAAGAACCCGTGGAGCCGGTCAAGCAAGATAGACGCCGAAAGAAGAAGGGAGCCTCTCGGAACGATCATGAAGACGAGGAAGATGTCGAGCCTGCCGCCCCAAATCGCCAAGTCGCCGCCAATCGTGAACGTACCAAAACTGGTCGCAGAGCAAAATCTGCCAAGCAGGAAGAGCCTCAGGTCATAGATGAAGATGCAGACAATGCTCCAATCAATGCCCATGCTGGACCCGAGGCAGCTGACGAAACGGAAAATGAGCCCCATGCAGGGAACTCTTCTGGAGCGGTCCCAGAAGGATACATAGGGGCTCTCCGCCAAGATGATTTGAATGCTGCTCAAACCACCACAGCGACTGCAAGTGCCGACATGGATGAAGACTACATCGATGAAGCTGAAGCTGAAGCCGAAGATTACGCAGAAGAAAAGAAGTCAAAGGCGGCGAAAGGCAAGGGGAAGGGCGCAAGAGCAAAGAAGAGTACCAAGGGGCGGGGGAAGTGAACAAAGCTTCTCGAATCAGGAGTGCCCTGTCAAGGTGTCCTCGCTCTGACCCCGCGGTTCGACGGCACGAGTCTGCTGGCCAAAACCTACTATTGAGGAAATCGAACGGAGGAATGTGCTTCTGTTTGCACAGAACCATGGATGGACGAAGCGAGAAATTTGCAGAGGAAAGAAGAGGAAACAGAAATGGGACTGTCACTATTACCAGCCCGACGACACTGTATCATCAAGGTTATCGGGAAGAATTTCTTATGTACCAGCTACACAAGATACTGCTGGGATTGCTGTGGCGCAGGCTGGTGTTGAGCTTTACTTTGTCCGTCCGATCCTTCGAGGTTTTCCGGGAGAGTCAGCAGAAAACGGTATCCTGTACCATTAGTCGGTGCGGTGATGTCTAGCTTAGTAACAGAAAAAGAATAGGTATAGATCTAAGCGTGAGAGATGCCACGTGGAGAGGTGAAGTTCCTTTCGTTGCTGAAACAACCCAACAGAACCCGTGTATTTGTACAATGTCCTCCGTAGCGGCCATATTGTCCTCGCCAGCCATCCCAATCCCAGTACAGACCATCGAGGCATCGCGGGAAATACCAATAAATACTATGCCACTATATTTGACTTGGAAATCTTCCATACCCAGCAGCCACGCATCTCCCAACTAAAATTTTCAAAATTCCCTGCTCTCACCAATGTCGCATACATCAAACAATCCCGTCTCTTCCATTTTATGGTGTTTCAATGCTTCCTTCAACAGCCTAGGTGGCTCCAGGACATCCTCCTCGGTCAGGACCCATGTGCCCCAGTGTATACCCAGCGCCTTCTTGCACTTTACATCTCGAAATATTTCCACCGCATCACGGGGATTTGCGTGCATGGGACTCATGATCCACCGCGGCATATAAGCCCCAATGGGAATTAATCCCAGGTCAAACGGTCCTCGTAACCGACCTATGTCTGCGAACGCCGGGCAATGAGGTAGTTTTGAATATTCTTCTGACCAGTCGTCTTTCCCTTCGGAGGACTTGGGCACCGTGCGATAGCCGGTATCACCACCGAAATATACCGATTTAGAGCCTGACGAGACTGACCACGAAGCCCACAGAGTGGCAGCGCGGTCGTGAATGGAGCGTGAGGAAATGTGTTGGCATGGGAGGCAGGAGATGCGAGCTGTTATTGTGTCTGAGGAGGCAGGTGGGTTGGGTTCGTCGGTGGAAGATACGCTTGCGCGCTTCGTCTCTGTAGAAGTTGAGGATGAGGATGTCAATGTGAAATCCACTTCGTCCCACCAGTCCAATTCAGTACACTTCTCGATCCCGCTTGCCGAGAACCATTTCTTGTTGCCTAGAGGCACAAAGAAATGGCATTCTGGGTTGTGTTTCGCAATCTCCAGAATTGTAGGATGCGACAGATGATCGTAGTGGTTGTGGGAGATTACCACAGCGTCAATGATGGGGATATCTTTTATTTGGCAAGGCATCTCCGTGTACCTCTTAGGGCCGAGCCAGGAAAAGGGCGAACAACGATCTGTAAAGACCGGGTCAAATAAGACGCGCAGGCCGGAGGGGAATTCGACATAGAAGCAGGCATGCCCGAGCCATGTTGCTCTAAGAGAGCCTGGGACGTTTGCCGTGCGCGAAGGAAGGAAGGTCGGGGGGTGAACGGGGACGGTAGGAGGGGTCGTGTTGGGTTTGTTCGCCTTGCCAGTCAATCGCCTATGAATAAGACCCCAGAGCAAGGTTGGTAGAGAGTGCATCTGCCATGACGGCCAAGGGTTTTCAAAGCCGCCGCTCTTGACGTGCCATGCTTTGGTCTTTGTAATCTCGTCTTCAGGTTTGGGGGATGCGGTCGAGGGAATGGCAATAGTAGCAGCGTACAGCAGGGCGGCAGTGGAGGAGGACGTCATGGTGCGCCAGGGAGGTGGATGTGTAGCAGTATGGGCTTTGAAGGGTGTGCGCTTGCTGAAAAACAGCCGGAAGAAGGTGCGCATGGAGCGAGGGGGGGATTATATCAAGCGAGGCCACCTAAGCATGGCTTCTTGCTGCCTGGAGGTAGCAGCTCGTCTTCTTGTATATTGGTGGTTGGAGTCTAATGGATCATCAATGCAGGGAGGCAACAAATCATTGGCTTAAGTCCGAATTGTCCGCAGCTGCGTGTCGGAACCGGCCAAAATCTCATTCCGATCAATTATTGTGCCGCAAGCAATGAACGCATCCATTTCTTCCTCGCGAACCTTAGATCCTGTGTGTCCTCACTGCTTGTGTTGAAGAGGAGGGAATGCAGAGCGACAATGGACTGGTCAAGGTCGCTTCAAACACAAATACGTCTCCCACACCTCCGGCCTTGACCGATGCGGCCTCCCAGAAAGCCGATCTCGTGCGTCAATTCGCAACTGCAAGCAATTCTACAGATGGCGGGCTGATCGCGCAATTGATCAACAACCCCTTCTTCACGGCGGTAAGGAGTGATTCATGCCCTCATCAAGGACGTGTCTAACAATCCGCAGGGCTTCGGTCTTGCTGGTCTCGGTACAATCTTCGCCTTCGGTCGAAGAGGTCTTCGACATGGAGCTGCTCTCATGCGACGCCGTCTTCTCGTCGATGTCGAGATCAGTGTCCGGGACGACTCCTACCCTTGGTTTCTCTACTGGATGACGCTACATGAGCGAGGTCGATTGGCGAACAGGGCATTGTCGCAGGCAAAGGCAGGGCCCTTGGAGACCCTGCTTCAACGACTCACACCAGGCATGCGCCATCTGGCCATCGAGACGGAGAAAAGAGAACTGCCTAATGGGGCCATTCACACAAATTTTGTCTTGATCCCGGGTCCGGGTAGGCATATAATTCGCTACAGGAATGCGTGGATAATGGTCAACCGCCAAAGAGAGTCAAAGCAGTTCTCCATGGATGGAAAGCCGTGGGAAACAGTCACCCTGACCACGCTCTATTCGCAGCGGCATGTGTTTGAGTCGCTGTTCAAAGAGGCTCACGATATCGCCACTCAATCGGTCGAAGGCAAAACTGTCATATACACCGCATGGGGCACAAAGTGGGATAAGTTCGGCCACCCTCGCAGCAAGCGGCCTCTCGAGTCCGTTATTCTCGACAAGGGTGTCAAAGAACGCATCGTTGCAGATGTCCAAGACTTCCTCTCTTCGGCCAAATGGTACTACGAACGCGGAATCCCTTACCGGAGAGGCTATCTTCTCTATGGTCCACCTGGAACGGGCAAATCCTCGTTTATTCAAGCCCTTGCGGGTCACTTAAATTATGATATCGCAATGCTCAATCTCAGCGAGCGTGGTCTGACAGATGACCGACTTAATCACCTCTTGACGGTTATTCCCCAACGCACACTGGTCCTTTTGGAGGATGTGGACGCGGCATTTGCCAACCGCCGTCAAATCGAAGCCGATGGATATCAAGGGGCCAATGTAACATTCTCGGGCCTATTGAACGCCTTGGATGGCGTGGGTAGCGCCGAAGAGCGCATTATTTTCTTGACAACTAACCACGTCGATCGCCTGGACGAAGCGCTCGTACGGCCTGGACGAGTTGATATGACAGTGCGACTTGGTGAAGCCACAGCCTACCAGATCGAACAACTCTGGGCGCGCTTCTACAGCGATGCCGATCCAGAGGGAAAGTTTAGACAGGAGTTCTTTGAGAAACTCTGCGAAATTGGAGTCTTGCCTCCTGGGCCTGCAAGAAGCAGTCGGACGAGCATGGCGGCCCTACAAGGACTGTTTCTGTACAACAAGGGAAATCCTCGTGGAGCCATTGATATGGCATGGCAGTTGGCGCCGGGCGAATTACCCAGCGCTTTGAACAAGGACAGTCAGGCGCATGTAGCGGCGTCTTGACGGAACGGCCTGCAGTTCAACAATACTGCAGACAGACAAGGCTGTGAACCAGCTCATGAGGTTGTGTCACTGTGTATCTATATTATTGTTATATCTCATCTATTCCCCCAAAAAGGTGGCTGTGCAGGTGGCGCCCCTCAGCCTCTCTTGGCCTCCCTAGCTTAGTTAGTGAGGCTGAGTCCAACTCGTTCTCAATCCTCCCTCCCCCATTCCTCCTACTGTATCTTGTAACCCGAATTTCCATGTCAAAACATCCTAAATCCCGATCCATTCTCTCTGAGAGACTCTGTAGGCGTTCATATGTCCATCAAAGTCTTTGCTGTTGTCAGGCGTACCCCCAGAGCCAATATGAAGAGCCTCTGTGAAACAGGGCATTCATAATCCTATGATCCCCGAGTCATCGTATCCATCATCTGGATTGTATCATCTTCAACACAATGACTGACCCGTTTTCCATCGTCACCGGGGTTGCTGGTCTTCTTTCCCTGACCGGTGCCGTCATCAGCCAATGCTACTGCTATGGTTGTGCGGTGGCTGAGGCCCCGGACGAAGCACGGCGACTCGTGTCTGAAGTCACCAGCCTGAACGGCATCTTACTGGGTGTCCAAGGCCTGGCAGCGCAGATGAACTTGCCCGGGTACCAGCTGGAGTCGCCGTTGAAGAACTGCAAACTTGTGCTGGAAAGTGTGTCCACGAAGTTGCGTAAATTCTCCCCTGGTTTGAGCAAATCTCCCGGTAAACGCGCAATCAATCGCCTTCTATGGCCACTCCGCAAGAACGAGACCGACGAACTCATCACAGCCGTTGAGAGGCACAAAAACTCGCTGTCCTTGTCGTTGAATTCCCTTTCAGTGTAAGTTCAAGTATACTCACCGCACAGGAAACGTTACTCAAAGGCAAGCACAGGGAGGCACTGATGAGCCAAAGTGCCACACTGGAAACCGTCTCAGATACCTTGACCGAGATCACGTACAACAATGCAGAGCAGGAACGAAGGGAAATCTTGCACTGGCTGTGCGAGCATCATTATGAGGCCCAGTTCCAGCGAGCATATCAACTTTATTGTAACGGTACATGCAACTGGCTCCTCGACGACCCTACATTCCTCGACTGGTCTAAAGCCAGATCTTCTCTGCTCTGGATGCATGGCCACGCGGGCTCAGGGAAGACCATAGCCACATCCTACCTCATCCATCATCTCTTGGAGACAAAACCAGCCAACTCTTTGTTGGCCTATTTCTACTATGATGCCAGCACAATGGAAAGCCTGACACCGCAGACCTTCTTTGGCGCCATTGTCAAGCAATTCTGTTCAGAACTCCCACGACTACCCACCGATATCGTTGACGCCTACAGGCGAGCTTCGAGGCGTCTCGGCAGCCCCAGCCAGCCAAGTCTGGGCGAGTTGAAGTCCTTCTTGCAACAGCTGCTGGAAAGCACCGATTCGGCAACAGTTGTCATTGACGGTCTGGATGAGTCTCCCGATTACTCCGTAGTAGGTGACTTTCTGACCTCGATTGTGCGATCTGGGAAATTCCCGCTGCGCGTTTTTATCAGCAGTCGACTGCAAGTGGATTTGCGTCGATATCTCCTCGGATTCCCAGACATTCCTGTTCCAGAACAAGCGAGTGAACAGGATATCAGCGTGTACATTAAGATGAGGATCAGCAGTGACCCACGACTTCGGCGGATGAGCGAGAATATGAAGGCTTTCGTGGAAATGACACTGCGAACAGACTCGAACGGGATGTAAGTCATTGATGTGAACTACAGCTTAACTTAGCCAACACCTACATTGCTAACTTTTTTGAAAGGTTTCGCTGGGTACAATGCCAACTGGACGAAATGTCTAGGTTGAGGACCGATGCTGCTCTGAAACGGGCGCTCAATCAGCTCCCTCTGAGCATTGAGGCTTCGTATTTGCGCATCATCGACAGCATCGCTCGGGAAGATATCCCCTTTGCTACACGGGCACTGCTGTGGCTTGCTCATGCTTCTACTCCACTGACCCTGCCCGAACTTGCTGAGGCCGTGGTCCTTGAGCCGGACTTTGACGAACTAGACCCTGACTCGAAGCTCAATGATCCCAGTGACGTCCTCGAGATCTGCCGCAGCTTAATCACCTTCAATCCGGTTTCACAAACCGCTCGCCTGGCCCATCATTCGGTTCGAGAGTTCCTCACCGGACGACTCGACCCTTCTTCCCAGTTCTTCATTCCCACACGGGCATCGCACCGTATCATGGCCGAGGCCTGTATCCGTTACATGCTCCTTGAGGACTTTTCGGCTGGTCCGCTCTTCAAGACAGATTTCATGTGGACGCTCTCCGAGTTCCCTCTTCTCCGATATGCGGCGCAAAACTGGCCGTTCCATGTCCAGATGTCGGGCGCGGAGACCGAGCTAGTTCCTCTCATTCGAAGGCTCATGACCCCGCGCTCGAACCCCAAGTTCCTGTTCTGGCTCCAGGTTGTCCTCTTTGACTCGTGGCATGGCTACGTCCACCCCGACACAGACCTGGAGAACGCTCGGCCACTCTACTACGCGGCGTCGTACGGCCTGACGGAGACCGTGAGGAGCCTGGCCGATGCGGGGGCCGACCTTGATGAACGTGCCGGCAGGTATGGCGGCACAGCGCTGCATGCTGCCGTGTGGCGCAAGCGGCCGGAAATCGTCGACATCCTCCTAGACGCCGGCGCCGACCCGACCGTGAGGGACTACAACGGAGCCACTGCGGCGGAGCTCTCTCTTTTCAGCGGCACCAAGTTCTACAACCGCATTTACAACGAGAAGCGCGGCAAGGGAGGCCTGGCGCCCTTGGTCGAGAGCGTCATCCGATTGCGAGAAAAGGAGCTCGCCATGTCGACGGCCCGGGAGTCTGAGCTTGACCGGGAGAAGGACGACCCAAAACCACCCAGACTATCCCTCCGAGTGGTCAACGAGACCCGCGACGCGCCCCCGGAGCCGTTGGATGAGAAACGGCCGGTCAACCATGACCTGACGGAACTTTCTTTGCCCTCCGTCCCCATAGGCACCGTACAGCTCTCCGACGGAGGCGTTTGAGTGGTTCGTACAAGGAGAACGAGCTGGCCTTGTTCGGGTGTGTCAGGTTGGCCCCGGGCCCCTTTTGCGCTTGAACAACACTGCGCCGTGAAATGGTTCCGTCACAAAGACCAAGCAAGGCAAAGACGCTGAAACATCTCGCCATGTGCAGCCTTATGCGGCAAAGAAGGCGAGTCACCGATCATGAAGGATCATGACTGCTCGTTCCTTTGCCAGCTATACTTCCCGCGAGCGAGGATGTCTGAAGCAAATCCAACATGCGATGTGGCAGAAGACTGCACCCCCGTCCGTCTCTGACATGCCTTGTTGGTGAATAGGAGAAACACGGCGAGCGAAGGTCTTCTGGCTGTGCTGCGGCTTTGAGGCTCCATTAGGGTACCAGCCTTATATAGCCTCAACCAACCTCCCCACTCCTACCTTGCGGTTTCGCAGCATCTCGTCCGGGCGAGCGAGGTGCATACCCCGGGGGGTTGGTCGGGCAAGTGGATTTTCTGCTGGGGAGGAGCAGAGAGTGTATATCCCCTGTTGTCTGTTGACTCGTCCTGGCTCGTCGCGCCCGGCATTGTGCAGCCGTGGTGCCATGCCACGAACTGCTACGAGGCTCGTGCAGGTGTGCGCAGGGGATTCCATTGCATTAGCTCCGACGCGGTGCAGCGAGGTAGCGAGGCGAAAAGAAGTCTTCGATAACCCCTTCGTCCAACGCTGGATATTGAAAATATACATATACATGTGGACAGATGGTGGTGCGGATTTTGCCTGGAACGAATTCAGCGCTGGAGAATCTGTACGTGTGATTTGGCTTCTATATATCCCCGTGGAGCCAGATAGCCCACTCCCTTGTATAAAGCCTTGACTTTGGTTCCACTCACGCTTCATTCGAGGAGATGGCCACTCCGCCGTCTTCCTCATCGTCGTCGCCATCGTGAGCCCCGTCCTGCATTTCCAGCTCAGGCGCAGCTTCACCCTCACCGACACGCTCGGTCGGCACGGGCTCGAGTTCCGGAGAAGAGCTGTTCCTCCTGAACTCCTTGTCGACCAAGTCCATTCTTTCCCCCTCTCCGCCTCGGCCTTGGTCCTTTTGCTCGCCATCCTTGTCGCCAGACCCATTGGCCTGCTCCTGCTTCTGCGCCTCCGTCCAGCCTTTGCTCCGATTCACCAGCGGCGAGTCGTCGTTGAACAGCCGCAGCAGCATCGCCTTTCTCTCCTCCTTGGGCAACATCAGGTTGAGCGAGTGGATCGATTTCCACAGGGGGAACACCATCCTCTCCTCCAACCCTTCGCCTTCCTCCCCGCCGCCATTCGGACCGGTCGCGCGGTCGGCGTTGGTCTCGCTCGGCTCCACAATAAGCACACAGCATCCCATCCCCATCTCTCTCACTTGTGCTCCCACCTCACCCAACTTGGCCCCGTCCTCGCCATGGAACCTAGGGAACATCTCAATCAACAGCCGCCGCAGCGTCTCTTTCTTTCTCAACTTGACTTTCCTCTCGGGCCCGACCCACGTTTCCAGCATCCTCAGCCCGTCCGTTTGGATCCTCCATGGACACACTTCCGGACTGGGCGCGTCCTGCTTCACAAACATCTTGACACCGGCGTGTACGAATTTGATCCCCTTCCCTTCATTTTCTTGGAGAATTTCCTTGGCGAGTTCGTTGGTGTAGTAGATGTTTTTCGTCGGAGTGCCATCTGGGTTTCGGACCATGTACCGGTCATCGGGGAATTGGGAGGAGAGGTTGTAGAAGCTGCGGATTTGTTTGAGTTCGGGGAGGGACGGAGAAAGATATTTAAATGGTTCTTCGAAAGGTTGATCCCGATTTTTCTTTTTCGGGGGTTGTTGTTGGTGTTGTTGCGGTTGATGGCGATGAGGTTGTGGCTGCGGTGCATGGTTTGCTGGTGGCTGACCTTGTTGAATAGTCGAAGTAGTGGCGGTATCGTCGAGTTTCTCTTGGCTTTTAACCCGCTTGATTGGCGTAGAGTCCTCGTCTTCACTGTCCTCGCGTTTTCGTTTCGTCAGGGATCCGGAGTCGCCATTGGCCATGGCGTGGACTTCCTCCACTGCCCCATTTGTTGATGGCTCGGATTTAGCAATTGTCCCTGGGGAACCGGCAGCTTCCACCTTTGAGAGCGATTGTACGGTGCTGGCAGGTTTCTCCTCCGGTTTGGCCTTAATCTCCGACTTCTTCTCCAGGATCGCAATAAAAAATCCCCCGGTGTCTTGCAAATGGGGGTACACACGCATGGCTCGGTCAAGAGATAGATCTTCTTTGGGAGGAAACATGCTCTCGCATAATCTTTCTAGTCCCTCAGTGCCAGACTCTGCTCGATGATTGAGGACGGATTCGTAGTCCTGCCAGATCCGACCAGACTTGTCCATGACGTTCCATCGCTTGAGCCCGGGCGAGCGTTTGAGCCCAGGAAGCAGATCCTTTGTTTCGAGGATTTGCACAAGCTGCGGGCCCCCGCATCGATTAATTGCTTCTGCGAGGACGGCTTCATCTTCGATCGGGTTCATGCTGCATGTCGAGTAAACAACCCGACCTCCAACCTTGAGCATCTGCAGGGCTCGGATCAGAATTCGCACTTGCGTGGCATGGAGACCCAGGCCGTTGCTTGGTGTCCAGTTCTTCCATATCTCCATGTTCTTCCTCACTGTGCCGTCCCCAGAGCAGGGAACGTCCGCCAGAATCCGGTCGAACTTGAGATAACGATTGTGTACAGGCTTCCCTTCGGGTGTTGGCAGTGAGGAAATCTTGATGGACGGGAAGATGGTCGCATCGTGATTCGTGACGATAATGTTGGGTGAGCTTAGTCTTTTCATCTGATGGACCAACATGTGAGCTCTTCTGTAGTCGACGTCATTAGCAACCAGTAGCCCAGTCGCGCGGCCATCATCCTGATAATCTGCGCCCTCTGGTCTGTCGAGACCATTGGCAATATTCGCAGCTACCTGTCGACATCTTTCCTCCTCCCCAGCATGGATCATCTCGATGAGCTGCCCGGATTTGCTGCCTGGCGCAGCGCATAGGTCCAACACCGTCATGCCTGGTTTGAGGTCCATGACCAATGGCGGTATCATGCTGACCACCTCTTGCCGTGTGATATTTCCCACATCAGCCTCTGCCACAAGGAATCGTTGAAACGAGGCAAATGGTTTGAACCGACGAATAACATTCTTCGGAGTAGTCATGAACCAGGCCAACTGGTCGGGGTACCATTCCACGGGACGGGGAGCGTCGACATATTGACCTTCGTAGGTGATTGAGGTGATCTCGGGGATGTAGTAGTCCCGCAGTCGCTGTTGGACTGCCAAGGCATGTCTGCAGTCTAAGTCAGTACCTGTGTAGGCAGAGAGTATGGGTCGACAAATTGCACAAAGAAGAGGACGTACGCTCTAGATCCGGTAAACCTGAAGCTGTTGGGCAGATCCCTTCGCATGGCTTTCCAGAAATCATCTCTCTCCTCGTCTGAGACTATACCGAGCTGGTTGTAGTAGTGCTCAAATTTGTCGTTGTATCGACTAATGTCCTGCTTGCTGCCGCGATTGTCGGGTCGAGGCCGTGGTCCTCCACCCCCACCACCACCACCGCGGCCGCGGCCACCCTATATGAGAGGTTAATACGCCTCGAGCCGTGTGACGAGAGAAAGAGCTTACCTTCTTGCCGCCTCGCTTGCCCATGGTCTCGAGATGGACAAGAAACCTATATAACCAAAAGTGTCAAGCGGCATGCATCCAGCCGTTCGACGCATGATGTGGGGAAATTTTCTGGTGCGGAGGCAGGGAGGTTCGTGCCAAGCAGCGTTAAAACAGCCTGCGTCTCGGTTCGTTTTAGGACATATTTCAATGCCGCCCTACTATAGCTCTTCCAACTGTAGTAGAAGATCAAAGGTAAAATCCAATATCGAATGGATTCGACGGTCATTGTAGGTGAAGGGTGCTCAACTACGAGAAAACGGCTACTAAGTCCAAACACAACTAATAGTGAAGACAAAGGGTAGGCATCATTGTTTCTGACAGTAAGTAGAATACTCGTTTTGAATGAGGGCCCATTGACCTACGAGTATGAAGGAATATCTATTTGGTACTTGTCAGAATCAGGAGAGTGGCTCGCTCCCCTGCTTCGGGAGAAGGCTGATAGTTCCGGGAAGGAGTATCGAATTCGCCTGGTCCGCCACATCACCGAGCACGTCCTCCTTGCTCCCTACTCGCATACGGACTTGCGTGGTTCGACATCGAAACGGGGAGCTGTTCTGGTATCTGATGGTCTTGCCGCAAATTGCTCCGTGCATTCCCCATGCTCGATCTCCTCTACCCTCCCTTTGCGGTTTCTTCAAAAAGCTCGGCAAGCGTCGCGGATCAGGAAACTCGACCCTTGAACCTGGAGAATTGCGCGTCGATGTCCTTCGCACAGGTCTATTCCCGCCCAACCAGCACTTCGATTTCCCCTAGCGCATGTCCACTGTGCCAGAACCAAGGTGTTGGCATGGCCGTCGTGTTCGGAGTATTCGTATTCAAATCCCAAAAAAGCCACTCCCTTAATTGGTTGATTTCAGGTCTCGGGAGCGCATCAAGGTCCTAGTGGAGCACCATTTGATTGTTCGTAAGCGGGATGGATCCTATCGGGAATGGTGAGCATCCTGGATAGTCTGCCGAGCCGGCCAGCTCACTAATCCAATCAGAAGGAGTCGTGCCTGAGGTGCGTGGGTGCGCAGAGTGTGTCCATTGAAAACGAAACTCGGCAGTCAACTTACAGAAGACTACCCAGAGGCTATGGCTCGGAATTATAGTACAAGCCCCAAGGTATACAGCCATACCCCATGACATCGTCACCCCAAAAGACATCCAGGTTTCCAAAATAAAGACACCAATCAACTTGAAGAAGTGGTTTTAGGCGCCTACAGGGCCGATCAAATTTACTCCAGACAAGGAATCGGAAACACGGTCATCCATGGCTGAGAGGGAATAAGGTGGGCTACCACGGTGATCTGGCCAAAGTATATGCCTTTGCAGGACAGATTCTACTGCATTGAGTACAGGCTTACTGACCCGATCCCACAGACTCGATCCTGCTGCTCCAATGTCTTCGTGCTTGGATTTGTGCGACTATGTGTTGCACCGTGGGCACAGCAGTGGAAACCCCTCCTGGGCCACCAGCTCTCAACTCAACTCAGCCAGGAGAAATCGAGATACTTCTGACAGGGACACAGGGGGATGCCGATCCTGCTCCACACCCTCCTCACTCTTGTGTCATGAAAACTCGGGGAAATACCGCGGAAACGGTCCCTCTCAAGAAAATCCCATAATTAACACAAGGCTGCGGTAGCGCTGACCGGACACCAATGACATCGAGGGGAGGTGGAAACGTACCATAGAATTACGGGAACTGCAGCTTCAGAGTTCGAAGCACAACATGAGGTCAAAGGAACGTGCAATTTTACATGCTGCAGTCTTCTCACCGGCTGTCTACCGTGGTGCCGGTCAAGCACTCAGGGACGACATCATCAATAATCAGAGGATCTTGGATCCTTCCATCCCTTGTTGGCCTGCCAATAACGACCATGATGGAACATCCAGAGCGACATATATAAAGGCTACTGGTACCAGCTCTCCGTCCTCAGTGCCAACCAGTCGTCAACCACAACCACTTCGTTCGTTTACATTTCGGTCTATAATTTCATTTCGTCGTTCGTTACTTTTCTCAGCTTCTATTCGGCTCAGATCGCTCCGCCAATACCGCCATCATGAAGACCCTCAGCATTGTCTCCTCCCTCGCCTTTGCCTGCGCCGCCGCGGCTGCACCCTCCTCAGACTGGTCTGGCGGCTATGGAAATGGCGGAAACGGGGGCAGCAACGGGAAGTGCGTCACCCAAGACCAGGCGACACAGATCGTGCACGACTACGCCTTCTTCCTGGCGCACGCCGACCCGAGCCAAGTCGCGCAAGCCAACGCGACAGCTCAGAAGATCCTCGCGTCCGACTTCACCGAGCAGTCTGACTCGATCAACGGGTTCCTCGGCCTCAAGGTAGGGAGCGTTTTTCCTTCTAGATACGGTGGATTGCCAGAGACTGACTCGAAGACGCAATTAGCCCGGTGACCTCACCTTCCCGACCAAGGAGGAATACATCAGCGTGGTCCTGAGCCAGCCGGCCATCACTGGAATCACCGATCTCCAGGTCGTCCCTTTCAACTGCAGCCAGATCCTCTGGTACTGGAAGTTCGCCAACCCGGGCAACTTCAATGCCCCTCAGCCCCCTCAGGCCGTGCAGGGCATGAACATTTTCGACATCAACGACAAGGGCCTCATCGAGCACGTCAACGTCGAGTTCAGCGTCTTCTACTACGTCGACCTTGGCTTCAACGTCTCGGGCTTCAGCGGCCCGATCGCGGGCGTCAACCCATGAACGGCTCGTTCAGCGAAGGGACACTGGGCTGCAGGGACACTGCTGGGGATGGTTTGAGGATGCGGCTCTCTGGCTGATTTATAATCGATTCTCCTGATAGGGCATTTATTATCTTGTTTGAACAGAGCTGGGGTGACGAGTTCGAGACTTGGGAGGCAGTGTTGATTGTGGATGTGGTACCATATGTCACATACAGTGGCAGCACATCATGTAGAACATTGCAATGCATTCTGTTAGCCAGCTCGACTTCCCAGCCCGACCCCGACCCCTGCTGTAAACCTGGGGTTTGGACGTGTGAGTTCTCCCGTCCGGGGACACCCAGGAGGGGGAAATTGGCCTTGTCGCAGAATGGAAGAGGAACTAGATGCGACCACCCGATCTAAAAATAGGAGGCCGTCGTCAGGCGACCGGAAGAAACACAACGTTCACCATTTCTTGGCTGCAATACTGCGGGTTATAGACAGTGTCAAGATTTGCAACAGCAGAGGCGATAGTTCACAATAACGTAATCCGTGATTCCATCACTGGAAGCAGATTAACTTTCCGCGAGGCCGACGACGTGGTTAAACCCCACGGACTGGCACGGTGCCTCGGGTGCGAGCATCGCCATAAATAGGCTCTGGCACAGGATCAACATGTCCCGGTCGACTCTGGTTCTCCTACTATGTCCTCCAATGTCGCGTTGCGTCTTCGTTGTTTGTTTTCATTTTGCGTGGAGTCGTTGGCCCATACAACAAAGCATATACTCTAAAGCAGGGGTCCTAGTGGGGTCTAATATGCTATCTAGTCATCTACTGTCGGTTCTCATGGACTAGATGGTCTCTATCCCGCTCCTTCGCTACGTATTGGCATCGAGCATGCGTCGTCTTAGGTTGCCTTTTGGGTGATATTGAACGAATAGCTAGGACTGAGATCGCAATTAACTGGATATAGATCGCCATTCTCGAATGCCATATCACGCGCGTAGTATTCAACGCCCACGTAGCTGCTAGATATATCGAGAGTGACGAAGCCATTGGCAGCTAGATAAAGCCCCATCTTAGCACAATGTTCAATCGATTTCATGAAATAGTTCCTTGCGGATTCTTTACATAGACTTTCTGTGGGCGGGGTCGTGGGAAGGGAAGGACGGCTCGAGAGAGCAAGGCGACGGAGAGTGGATGGACGTACCTGTTAAGTTGTTCGCTGCAAGATATAAAGCATAGGGTCCTGGTGCTGTGCCGTTGTTGCAGTCACCTGCTTGCGGGTATCCTGCGGCACCAGATAGAACGAAGTTGGTGTCATTGAGGTAGAAGTGGCCCAAGCAATGATCGTGACCATTGAGCACAATACCGTTGTGTTTCATGACAACCTCAATCAGGGGAGCCAAGTCGGTTTCGTTGGTTGCGGCAGAGGCATACGGGTGATGTAGCTGAAGGAATTTCCAAGTGGCGTTGGACTGAGAGAACGAGGTACTGAGAAAGTCAACCTGGACTTGAGTAGTTTTGTGGCACCCAGTAGTGTAAGGGTTGCGGTACACTGATGTGTTCTTCTGGTAACTGGACAGAAAACAGTCTGAGTCGACGACAACGAATGTAGCAGACCAGTCAGCGCCAATCAGGTCATACGTGTAGTAAGGCAGACCTTCGGTACCAAAGTACCATCGGTCGTCGTATAAAGGCGCAACCTTAGTTTGGAAGTCAACTCCAGGCTGTCCTGGCACAATATCGTGGTTGCCCAAGCATTGATACCACGGCTTTTGGTCGAAGACGCCCTGGCTGTACATGTCGACCCAGGCAGCCTGAAAGCGAAGAATGCCAGCAGTGGAAAAGTCGACGCCACTGTCGTAGAAGTTGTCGCCGACTGAGATGAATGCACTGCAGTTCTTGACCGCACACACTTGGCCTACATATGCCGAGGTATCGAGCTGCAAGGCTGTGGCATTGGTGATATATGACTTGTCGCCCGGATCGCAGTCATTGATCACCTCATTGGGGACGGTGATATTTGCACTTTGCAAGAGAGGCAACACTTCGAGACAAAAGTGATCTGGACTCGGCACCCAACCAGTCCACCCATAGTCGCCAATAACAGCAACAGTAAGAACTTCAGCGCCGGCGGGTGCTACCAATGATTTTCCCTTCCCGGCTACAACATGGCAAAGCTGCGCCACCGCGATGACCGGCAGGAAGTGCTTCGAGAGCATTCTGATTGGTGAATATGAGCACAGGGAAAGGCACTGGAAAGAGGAAAGAATCGCATGCTATTTACTTCTGGGGGGCACATTCCATGCTTTATGTTCTGCCTGACTGGGCGACAAGCGTAGTTTCAAAGCACGCTC